AATTCTATATAGGTATACTTATAACGGTATATCGTGTTGTGCATGTACGCGTTCTATAGATATATTATAATCATATTCTAAGTATACCTATATGCCTTCTACCTTCAGCCTATTATAATGAAATATGCATCAGTTTTAAAATGAAATGTTTACTTAGAGAACTTCTTGCTTTTTTTCACATACCCTTATATTATATTCATGCATTTCAAATAAATGTATAGAATATAGCTGATAATCAAAATAACAGTTAACTAGGATAATATTATCAACTTGTGCAATATCGCATTATTATAGTAGGAGGTCGTTACGTGAAACGTGTCAGTATATATTTAATTTATATTTTTTATACCTACAACCTAAGTAGTATTCTACTATATAAATATTATAATATACCTACCATCAAATTAAAAACTTGGAATGCTTATAAAAAAACTTTGACCAATTAAATTGTAAGACGTGAATACGTATTAATATAGAATATAAATTTTATATTTTATAACTTTCTGCTAATTATCAATTTTGTTCAAAAAAACTTTTTTAACTTTGTTACTTTCAACTATAAACAGAAATCTTAAACTATCGCATGATAACTATGTGTGTGTGTACTGTATGCAATATGTATATGTATACCTAAGTACATGTGATATGTGAAATACATGGACAATTATTATTGTAGTATAATATCTACTTAGGTACTAAGGTGTCATCTGATAATATAATCAAATGTTTAACATTAAATAGTATAATTTTAATTAAATATTCATAAAAAAGCTTAGTCAACAGTATAATATATTAATAAGCGATTTTCATTTCATCATGGTTATTACTTATTACAGTATTGTCGGTTAAAAAATTTCATTAAAAATTATCTAATCGTAGAATCATCATATTCCCCCATGGTATTAGAATGCGATCAAATATTTAATAAAAACCCATACGAACGGCGTTGTTGAATATTTCAATTGTGCGGTGCGTACATACTACATAATAGTTTGGTATAGAAAAACGTTATGCGCACTGTTCACCACTTGTTTACAAATATTTTAGATAATATTTATAGTATTTTTCATCACGTTATTTTAGTTATTTGTCTCTCAACTCCATACCTCTATACATTCTTATTTCTTATGACTTTTAATTGTAACTGATTAACAGAGATAGAATTTTATAGCTTTATGAATTTAAAAAAAAAATTTTTAACTAATATGTACATACCTATCGCATCTATAACTAAAATATATTACAGCTAGCTAACAATTATAAGTTGTAGGTATACCTACCTATAGTATACGTAAATCAAAAATTGTGATGTGTATTTAATAATGATTAAGCCATTGCTCATTAGTAAACATACTAAAATATAGATGATACAAAAATAAATATTGGCATTTCAGATACTCGCTTAAATATATATAATACATTTTATAAAAAAAAAAAAATCAAAAGTAATAAAAACCAAAAATCAACATGAAAGTCAAAAAAAATATTACACAAAACAGTGTACAAATTTCGTATACTTCGGTTAACGTATGTAAATCGTATTTTCACATGACTAKATGAATCAAATACAAACTCTGAAAAAGTTATTAGTGCCTTTAGACTTAAATAAAAGAAAGGACTACGCTTTAATAAATAATATACATATGAAGGGGTCAATGATTTAATGATTGTGGTGGTACACGAACCATTGTCGTCATATAAAGTCCCTCCCTCCCAATTAAAGGGCTGCTTAAGGAAACATTTCGAGTAATTGATACCATGTGACGTATAAGAGGCTAAATTTATTTTTAATGAGGAACAAAAATGATCATAAGCTCATCGTATTTCTACCAAGTAAGTTCTAAAAAAAATAACTCACATTYTAAAAATAACAATTTTATTTATCAGCCATCTGTGCATTTATATATATTCACTGGTTGGCAAATAAGACACAAAATAAGGATGCCCAGCGCCCCAACCGTATCCAAGTAATACCAATAGGTATATCACAATTTGACTAAATGTGAACATAAAATACGAATTTGTTCAAGCGTATTATATAGCCAAATATAACCTATACAAAACGTATAGAAATATGTACCTCACTTTGTATTTTTTTTTAACGCAGTATCACATAATTTTCTTGTGAATTCCTCTATATGTATATTATATATATAATGTTTATGATGTATAGGTACACGTGTGTGTACCAGAAGTAATAAAAGAAATTAAAAAAATAGTAGCGATTTCGTACAAGATTTCTTGTATTATTATATTACCTGCGTCCTACAGAYATATTATGTATATATTATATAATATTATTTATATATGTGTTTATGTGTTTATTCTTCATCTCGAAGGTATTCCCYTAAGACACATAATACTACATACCTACACATAATATGTTTATATAAGTACCTATACGTACGCTATCACGAGTAGTCGTCCTCACGCGTTTGCCCGYATTTATCTCCGATTATATCCTTTTTGAATTCAAAACTTTTGGCCAGTCGTCTATTGAATTTATCTTAAAAGGAGTTCATGGCCGTATTCAGCAAATAATTTTTGGGATTATTCTGCAAAACCACTATAACTTTTATTACTATAATGGCCTACACTTTTTGGATCCAAAACCGTACCTTTTTTAAATATATTATTTTTTTATTTACTCAATATTTTATCTGATCATTAGAAGGATCTATTGAAAATTGAAAAAAATAATGACTATCTATTACAGTATAGCTTACATTATAACCTTAAAAAAATCGATGATTTTAATTATTTTTTTAAATGAATGACTCTATAGAGACT